GATAAAACACACTAATGCGTTAAAGGTGTACATCCTCGCTTTGATACACCAACACTCGGCCCTGTCGTTGGGCTGCTGTTGTGGCGCTTTTGTCGACCACGCGAATGTTCCGGCGCGTCACGTCCCGCGAAGCTGGTTTTTGCGCATGCGCAGTGGCCCCACGTTGTGTGTGCGAATTTTTTTTTTTTTTTTTTGTAGACAACGTGTCGGTTTATGTTGTATAAACATTGGTAATAATTGTATTAAAATATAAAATAAACGACTCTATAAAAATAATGTTCCCCAAAATAAGTTCGAAATATTTGTGTCGAAATCGGACGACACTGTCTATTAGTCGAACTTTGTCAAAGTGCACTGAAGGTTCCAAGGTACGACGTCAAACTTTGAGTAAAGTTCGACAAAGTTCGAACTTTAGTCAAGCTTCACTTATCAGGCTTTACGGAATGCTGAGCACCTAGCCAAAGAACGTTTCACGTTAAAAGCACCGGGAATATGTGAGGCCGCCGACGGGTGCAGTCATAATTGGGAGGGGTTCGTTCGTGAATATCGGGATTTTACGTCAACGACTGCGAGGTTGGCGAAAAAGAGTGCGTCCTCAATGATGTGTTAACAACATGGAAGGTTTATTGAACGGGCCCGGGGACGGGCTAGGGTGTGTCGCTCACCAATTGTTGACAAAGAAAGAAAACAAAAAACGAAGCGCAGATATATAGTGCGTGCTAAGCTTCATGGAAGGGTGAAATTCCAGGGAGAGCTGCAGACGGCTTAAATGTGGGCCCGCATTTTGTCGTGGGCGTGAATATCGGATGAGAGGAGCGTCTCTGGTAATCGTGCAGTTCAATCGAACGAACGCACCGTAAAAAAGAAAAGCTTGACACAGTTGCGCCGTTTTTGGGCGCTTTGTTTCACATCAATCTCGTCAGACTGTCTCTTTTCTTGTTTGTAGTTTAGCGAGGCGATGCCGACCAGCTTCCCACGTCCTCCAAGTCTTTCTAAAATTGACTGACTGAGTTGTTTTTGATGACGCTCAGCAAGTTTCTGATTGGAACCATATGTTTACTTTTACGAATTAAAAAAAAAAAGTCAATTAACACAATATAACAAATTGCCAGGCAATTCTGTTGCATACGTGAAACGTTCTAGGTCACATGACATAAAGTCATATGACATCATTTTCTCCGCTCTACGTAGCGGGGAAACTGAATTTGTCTTGAGGTCACGTGACACGAAGTCATGTGACGTCATTTCTCTCGCTAAACTTAGCGGGGAAACTAAATTGCTGTTGAGGTCACCTGACGACAATATTCCCGCTACATCTAGCGGGGAAACTGAATTTGCATATGGCTCACGTGACGTCAAATTCTTCTCGAAATTTAGCGAGGAAACACACTTGGTCTATAGGTCACGTGACATAAAGTCATGTCACGTCATTTTCCCCGCTAAATTTAGCGGAGAAACTAGATATGCGTGTAGGTCACGTGACGTCACGCCAGGTGATGTCGATTTCCCAGCTAAATTTAGCGGGCCAAATTGAACTGATGTGTAGGTCCACGTGACGTCAATTTCCCCGCTAAATGTAGCGGGGAAACTGAATTCGCGTATATTTCACGTGACGTCATTGTGACGTCATGTGACGTCACAACCCACGGCCTCACGACCAAAAAACATTTCAGGTAAAAAAAGAAAAAAGAAAGACCTGTAACGGCCCATCAGGCCATCTAACTCTGCAGCTTATAACAGATTCGTTGGTAACGTCATCTTTGACGCAACCCTCTGACGACACGCTACTCTTCTAAAGCTGCTGTCGGAACTGCGCAAGCGCAGAGGCTTCGCTGCAGGCGAATCTGGTTTTTGTGCCCACGTAGACCCGATGTGGGCCAACGTGGGCTTGTTTGTAGATAGGGTTCCATGCTTTCGGTGTTCATTTTCCTTTAAATTCGGGGGTGTTGATTTTGGGGTTTGTTTTTTTATCCCCCGTACATCGGTATTTTTTGATACCAATATGTAATGTCGAAAAAAAAAACAATTGGCGATATGCGGGGTTTATGTTGAACGAAATTTTGCATGGACATAGAATTCCCCAAACTTCAAGGAACATATTAGCGGCGAGATGTTTTGGTGGCGCCCTCCTACGGTTCCCCCTTGTGACGTCATTAGCTTGCAAACAACAAGTTCGATGTTGTTCGTTATTAGCATGGTGTAAGCTTGAAATCATTGCGCTCTCAAAGGAACACTGCCAACACCGTCAAAATTAAAGTTCTTTCATTCCTCTTATTTCCGTCGATGATAAATCCCCTTTCCGACGTCATATTCAGCGTTCGGTCAATCGTGGAAGGCCGACCACAGCGACGCTTTCGGTCGCGCACGGGGCTAATACCGGGGTGATTCTAAGAGCGGCCAGGCTCTTTAAATCGACCGCAAAATTCGGTTTCTTAACATATCGCGCTACGACTTTGTGCAGCGTTGCCCGCAAATGGTGTATTTTTTTTTTTTTGTGAAATTTGCAAAGAGCGAACTTAACTGAGAAAAAAGTAAAGAAAGAAAAAGTTGTAATTCCTATGGAAACGCAGCGAAGCACCGGTCTTCCAAACAGTACGGCGCCGTTTAGCCGGCGTTTTTAGCAGACGATTTTTTCGACTCAAAAGCGGAGCGAGCTTTTTTCATATCAGTTGCCAATGCATTATTTTATCATCCTTACTAATGAAACACCTTGAATGGACACATAATCGATTAAAAAAATGGTTTGTCGGGTTATTTTAACTGCTTTTTTTTTTGTGGCGCTTATGTCGTCTGCTTTGCAGTTTCTTGTTGTTACCGCACCTGTTTTTGTTTCTGCGACTGTCGCCACCTGTGGAACGCGCGCCGCTTTTGAGTCGAAAAGGTCGTCTGCTAGAGACGCCGGCTCTCGGCGTCGTATGCTCGTTCGCTGGCGGCAGTTGGCGTCGCGACCGCTGGCGCCATCTCTTGTCTCCCGTGAGAAACGGCGCCGTATTGTTTGAAGACCGGTGGCTTCGCTGCGTTTCCATAGGAGCTAAGCCTTTTTCTTTCTAAACTTTTTCCTCAGGTAAGTTCACTCTTTGCACATGTTACAAAAAAGAAAAATGCTCCATCCGTGGGCAACGCTGCACAAAGTCGTAGCGCGATAGGTTAAGAAACCGAATTTTGCGGTCGATGGGTACAGAGCCTGGCCGCTCCTTGGATCACCCATTATATATACATGTGTTCCGAATACTGCAGGAAAACTTCCCCGTACCGATATATAAAAGAAAAAAAAATAATGTGTCTGGTCCCCCGAAAAATAGCAGCTTCGCGAGAGCGGTTGATTAGGGAAAAAGGGGGGGGGGGGGGGGGGGGGGGGAGATAAAGCGGTACATATAAAAGCTTCTTCCCGTTGACGCTCTAGTTTTTCTCCTTCAAGGACAGCTCGAATTCGGGGTCTATTGGGTTGTCCCCCGACTTCGATCAAAAACCACTAGGGGGTTACTTTTCGGTGTCTATCGGTATATACCGAAAACACGGAACTCTCCACTATAAACAGTGTGTTGGTCGATACTGCGTTTCACTTCAAATACGATCGCAGCCGTCGCTGACATGCGACGGAGCCAATCCAGCTGCGGCAAAAAAAAAGTGCAGCGTCACGGCGTTCGTTTTCCCCGTGGATTTTCCATCACCGGCCACACCGATCACACACCTAAACATTCGCAGGATCACAGCGCCTTCGCTGCGCGTGAATGGTGCAAGCCGTGACGATGCATTTTTGCCGTTGGTTGAGTGGCTCCGTCGGAACCAACGTTACTAGAACACTCAGTTGGAAACTCGCCGTCGAAACCTGGGCCGCTGGCGTCCACCGGGACCGAGCTAAATACGACAACAGCGCCACTCTTTATCATTTGTCTGTACTGTGGTCACCTTGAGCTTTTAGAAAGCATGTTATTGCGTAAAAACAAACTGAAAACACTCTTTTTTTCTGAATTTTATTGGAGTTTAATACAAAATGAAGGACGCGTGATGTTTTCAAAATCTTTAGTTGGCAACGCTTTGCGGCACAACTAATATTGTTTTTATACGACCATGCCTCACCGGCGCTTTCAGGTAGCGCGTCCCGAACTAGGTGCATTTTAACTTCGTAGTACGACGAGGCGCGTCCGCTGGGGAGACGGGAGTGGCACCCCTGAACCTCTTCTGTTTCGGTCCGAAATGACCGATTAAAGCCGAAAAAGAAGTCACGTGCAGTTCCTTGAGTGGGCGCTGCGGGAGAAATGGCGGCGTTGTGTTCGTCATTAGCTCGCTGCTCGAGGACAGATCGGGGACACTTTTTCAGAGCAGTCTCTATGGCACTTTCCCAACTGAGTGTTTTAGTAACGTTGGTCGGAATGTTGTGCGGGGCGCAAGTTCGTCTGCTTTCTTTTGTGGGTGGTTCCGGTGACGTCAGAAAGACGTCGAGCTCTAATTGGCTCTGATTGATAAAGGATAGTGGGTAGACTTCAATGTAGCTTGCATTGAGATCTAGCCACTGTCTTTCAGAAATCAGAGTCAATCAGTGCTAGGCATCTTTCTGACGTCATAGGAACCCCTGCGAAAAAAAAAAAGCGGACGAACTTGTGCCCCCCATAGCGCTTAAAGCGAAACGGGGTATTTATTGCCTGTTGCGCACGCCGCCAGCTTTTGTCTCTGGGCTGTGGAACACCTGAGCGTGCGCAATAGCTCTCTCTCTCTCTTGCGGAATATGATACGACGCGCTCTTAAGTTAGCTTTCTTTTTTTTGTTTGCCTGGGTGATAAGCTCGGGAAGTTTAGAATATAAAGACCTTTGCGTCGCTTATCACCCGGGCGAAAAATGCTGAGTCACTGAGCTGTGGACGGATGCGCAGCGTTCGGTATACCGCACAGCAGATCAACAGCGCATGCTCAGAAGGCGTTCCACAGCCCAGCAGACAAAGATGGCAGCGGCCAGAGGCGATTTTTGCAAAGATCTATAGGGCGGCTTGTGGTTATACTCACTTTCGCGTGAAAAATAGCAAGCGGGCCAAGTTGTCGTTGTAATCCTCCAAATCGTCCCCTGCAAAAAAAAAAAAAAGGAAAAGAAGAAAGTAGTTAGCAACAATATAAAATAAATATATATTGACTGTAAAATGGTCTTAACACCACGCGAAAACGCAAGAACAGCCGTTAACAGTACAGTTCTCAAGAATCCGAGAACAGAAGGAGAAAACAGCATGCCGAGAAACTCCTCCACCTAAATCTTTTTTCCTCTTCTCCTTTTCCCTAGAGGACGAGAAATCTTCCCCTTCTCACGGAGACTGTAGCGCGTTCGATGTTGTGGACGGAATAGATGGTGCGACCGACTCCGAGCTAAGGTGAAAATGTTCTGTTTAATCCACGTGCCGTTGGGCTTGCGCCAAGGAGTTGATTCGCTGTCTTTCATGGTGGCGACGCTGGACGTATTGACTGCTACAGGGACTATACAATACGTCCAGTGCCTTCCATTTTTTATTTTAATTTTATTCTCTTTGTTTTATTACAAAATAAACAACAAACAACATCGGTATCAATTACTCGTGTGATTGTTTCCTACCATTTGTATATAGATGATTACAAAATCATACACAAAAAAATAAAGAAAGCAATGATATAAAATGAATTCCATAACTTGCAACGAGCACTGTACAGATCTGACGTCCAGTCAGCACACAGGCACCTCGTTTCACAAGCTGCCATTTATACACTCCCCAATTCCCCTGTAGTCGCGGTCACACTGCAAGTGGTAGACACTGCAAGGGGTCACGTGGTGCACGATCCCCAGATCGTGTACCACGTGACTAGCACGTCACCGATTCCTGCTCTCCGCGCCTCGTCCGCGGATGCGCGGATTAAAATAGCCGACATGGTCTTGTATAGAGTTTTCTCAAAAAGAGCTTCTGCTGCCATCTCGAAGAGTTTGTGCGTATGGCGCGTGCATTGCTCGCTTTCCGAAGCGACAAACACGCACGTGCTGGGCTGTAAATATCGCACGCTGGGCCGTACCTGAGAATGGTATATTGTCGGGGACAAGTAAAGAACGCGGACGTTAGCTTCCGCCGTGCTTTGGTTGGGCGTGCGCGCTCGTGCTATCAAGGAAAGCAAACTCATTAGCCCATCACCGACTGTAACAACCACTCTGAAACATGAAAGTATTGGGTCTAGAAGAACTCATCACAAGCCAACTCATCATAAGTAAACTCATCAAGTAGGCAAATTGTCACAGTGCATCTGAGGGTGGTGGCTTTGGCCTTTACAATGCTTTCTATCTCTACAGACCCAGTACACAACGTCGGGGTCTTTTCGGCTAAGCGTATAAGAATACCCTTCGTACAGCATGGGAGCGTCACAATGGGTTTTAATTCGGTCCATCATACGAAATGCGGTCGTGCTCTCTGAGGGTCCGCACATTTCGCCCCTATATATATACGTATTCGAAGCCATTTTGAATGAAAAACCCCTTTGGAGTAGATATAGAGAAAAGAGAAGACGCCCCCAAAGACGAAACCTAACTGCTACACTTTCTAGCATCCTGGTGCGGAGGTCTGCATACCGCACCCCCGTTTTGTCATTGCACAATATGCTCCGACGTAGCAAAGCTTCCGAAAAGGCTTTAATAACAAAGGGACGTCGTAAGTAAAGATAACACCGAAAAGCCGACCACAACCGCCCCCTGCAAACAAGCAAAAAAAGAGGCCACGTTGAAACCGCGACAGGTTCGATACGACCAGGGATGGGCAAAATACATGTATCCAAATACAAATACAAAATACTTCGTCAAAAACGTATTTAATTAAAAATCTAATTACATTTCCAAAAAAGCATTTAAATACAAGATACAAATACAACCAGATGTATTTGGTCTTTTTCAAGTACTTTTCCAAATACATTCCTCAAAATTTGCGTCAGCGACTTCAGGGCACCTGCAACGGGTTTCTGGGTATCTCATTTTAATTTTGCATCGCACACGCGGGAGTTAGTGTGCGAGGCTCTAGTAACGTAATAGAAATATAATCACAAAAAAAATGTAATCAGCATGGACGTAATAGGTGAAAAAAGTACAGAGCTTCAAGCAGCTTTTTTTGTCGATTACATTTTGGTATAGACCAACAAAGAACTGAGACGACAAAAACGCGCAGCACTAGATAGAGATTTTTTTATTGTTGCAACTCGCACCAGTTACGAAAATCTGGACGACCCGCGCATTTAGAATGTTCCAGGCAAAAATATGAATGGAAATCAGGCTGGAAAGCATCACAAGTTGTCCCAGGCACTTATTTAGCCAGGCTGCCTGTGAACATCGATTTCGTCACTATTCTTGCCTTAGACTAGCACCGCAATCAAAAAGTCACTAAACGCTTGTGCTTGATTGGGAGACACTGCAATCGGTGCAGAACGTAGTTTTCTTGCTGCTCTGGACAGTGACAATAAATTTGAGGGATGTATTTTCGCCCACAAAATTGTATTTAATTACAATTGTATTTGAAATGCCCTCGTTTAGTATCTAAATACACACGTCAAATACATTATCCAATTTGTAATTAAGTACAAATGCAAAATACACAAAGTACTTGAAATACATATTTTAAATACTTGTATTTGAAATACTGCCCACCCCTGGATACGACCATTTTCCAAAATAAAGCCCCCCCCCCCCCCCCCCCCGCCCCTTCTCCTCCCCCCTATAAAAAAACAGTCTGTGACGAACTTTCCAAGAACGAGAAGGTCACTGCGACCACTTTCCCTACTACGAGTTCACCTAGACCGAGATGCCCTCTTTGACCAGTTCGCCTATGACCAGTTTCCCTATGACGACTTGGCTGTGACGAGTGGGCCTGCTCCCGTCGGGTCATAGAGAAATGTAGTTTTCTTTTTATTCAATTAACGTCATGTACTCCAACTTTCGCGTTTTATCACCACAGCTAGAGTCACATTCTTACGGTTCCTTTTTCTCAAGAACACCCGGTATATCGGACGATTTACATACGTCAGAAGCAAGATGGCGGCGCCCAGGGCCCGTACTTGCAAACGTCTGGACTCTGTGTGAATAAGTTGCAGAATAGCGCCGACGTCGCGTTCAAGCTACGAGAGTCGCGCAGTGTTCCTTTATCTTCTTTACATCCAACATATTTAGGGCCAGCGCACCGCATACAATTGTTCAGTAAGGAGGCTAATCTCTAAGTGCACTCTCAAAAGCAGTAGCTAATGGATGGAAGTGTGATGATTTTTTTTTTCTTTTTGTTAGAAGATGGCGCCACTTGAATGATGCCATTATGACGTGGCGGAGACGTACTCAGTATCTCAAGCTGTTATTCACGGTAGAGACTAGTTGGTCGTCTCTCACTATTGAAAAGCAGGATAACTTCCCCTGTTATGTAAACTGTGTTGTGTAGACTGCCTCCGAGGGAGACTTGCGAATTCGACTTTTTGATGTGCATCAAGCAGTAACCGACAATGCTGTCTATACTTACTAGACAATTGTTGCTGTCGTGGAAAATAAAGCTATTATTAATATTATTATATGTGTTCTATAAAGAACAAACTTAAGGTCCCTACTGAAAGCTAACGTAAACTATTGTCTGAAAAGGGGCAGACAAATTCCTCCTTGCCCATGCTCTTTCCGTCTAAAAATTTACCTTTCCCCTCGCTTCAATTGGGTCTCTAGCGACACGTGACCGTTACCTTCCCATGGTCCCGCGCGAGTCGGTGGACAGCTCTAAACCGGCGCCATTTTCGTGCGCGTGGTATGGCGGTGGCTCCGTTCCTTACAATCCGGCCTAAGATTTTTTTTAACCCGATCTTAGCGGAAACGCTATGCCATGTTACTGTGCTGTGCATTGTGCAAACAGCGTGGCGAAAGGGAAGAAGCTTTTTATCGTCCCGACGGGAAATGGAAATCTTCAGCGACGAAGACAATGACTCCACCGGATCGGAAAGAGAATTTTAGACTGCCTCCGAGGGAGACATTACGTGGTAAGTCATTCTAAAAGTCTGGATCGTATTACCTGTCTCGTTTGATCTCGCCGATGAAGATTGCCTAATACGATCGTGAAACGAGACAAACACGGAACTATATCACCGGCACGAAGAACTTTGATACGCTGTGCAACAATTTTTGTACTGTGCACAAATACCGCTTAAAACGGATCCCTAACGTTAATGACCTATGAAACACGCGTTCGTTTTTCACCCCACGCAATAGAAGTCCCAGAAAAAAATTAAAGAAAAACGAGCAGCGTTCACCCCCTCAACTCGCAGCCAGAACAAGCGACCACGTGATCTGGAGCCGATTATATGCCGCCAGTGTTGTTCATAGCCACGCGCTGGGGTTCGCAAAGCGCAGGACACGCGCTGAGTTCCAGACATTGTTATGGTTCGGCTGTTGTCGTCGTTGCAGCGATTGGACATGGGTCACAACCCGAATGCTTCTCGAGCTAGCAATTGTCACGAGCCCAAGTCGAGTGCCCACGCAATGCTCGGGTACAATCTATGAACCGCATTCAAATATCGTCACTTGGGTGTACTGCGATCCCCGAGTTACGTCATCAAATTTTGCAAAGGAGAGAATGAATGAAAATGATCGCTTTTGTCCTTGAAACTACACCGCAACAAAGGAGTTTCTTGGTTCATGGCGTTGCGTGTGAGTATCCTTGAGTCCCAGGTGTGCCAGTAAGCTCGTGTAGAGAGAAAAACATTCCAATTGAATATCGTTGCACAGCTCCTTTAATAATGGAAACTGACTCACCCGCTCTTAGCTCGCTTACATTGAGTCGTCCAAGTTAAGACCGATTCGTGGGAGAGTGGGGTGCCACTAACATGAAGAGGGTTGTAGTGTTACCGCGAGCGTATGGCGTCAGTGAAAGGAGTCACCAACGACCGAGCTGCTCGCGCTTTTGTTCTGCAAGTTATTTCCGCGATCGGTGCTTCACAATAGGCAACTAAATTTATGCGATGCTGCCTTTAACTTTGAGGAACACTTCACGAACGATCAGTTTGAGCCAGTCATTGTGGCAAAGACTGGCCTCAAGAAACTCATGCCACATACAGCTCCTTTCATTTTTTTAGAGCGCAGCTCTTAGGGGCCCGTTTCCGGCTTGAGCGGCGTCGCCGTCGCCGTCGCCGTCGGCGTAACCGCGCGGTGCATCATGGGAAATGTCCCATAATGCACCGCGCGAGCCCCCCACCGGGGTCACGTGACCTCGTGGGGGGCACGTGACTCCCCCGAGGTCACCTGACCCCCCGAGGTCACGTGACCCCCGAGGTCACGTGACTCCCCTGAGGTCACGTGACCCCTCGAGGTCACGTGACCCCCGAGGTCACGTGATCCCCGCCGATGTCGCGTGACCCCCGATGACGTCATCGACACTGATGACGTCACCGGCATCCACATCGTCATCGTCATCATCACTGATGACGTCATCAGACGTCACCGGCATCCACATCGTCATCGTCATCATCACTGATGACGTCATCAGACGTCACCGGCATCCACATCGTCATCGTCATCATCACTGATGACGTCACCGGCATCCACATCGTCATCGTCATCATCACTGATGACGTCACCGGCATCCGCATCGTCATCGTCATCATCACTGATGACGTTACCGACATCCGCGTCGTCATCGTCATCATCACTGATGACGTCACCGGCATCCACATCGTCATCGTCATCATCACTGATGACGTCATCAGTGACATCACTGATGTCGTCACCGGCATCCGCATCATCATCGTCATCATCACTGATGACGTCATCATCACTGATGACGTCACCGGCATCCACATCGTCATCGTCATCATCACTGATGACGTCATGAGTGACGTCACTGATGTCGTCACCGGCATCCACATCGTCATCGTCATCATCACTGATGACGTCATCATCACTGATGACGTCATCATCACTGATGACGTCACCGGCATCCACGTCGTCATCGTCATCATCACTGATGACGTCACCGGCATCCACATTGTCATCGTCATCATCACTGATGATGTCACCGGCATCCACATCGTCATCATCACTGATGACGTCACCGGCGTCCGCATCGTCATCGTCATCATCACTGATGACGTCATCAGTGACGTCACTGATGTCGTCACCGGCATCCGCATCGTCATCGTCACCATCACTGATGACGTCATCAGCGACGTCACTGATGACGTCACCGACATTCGCATTGTCATCGTCATCATCACTGGTGAAGTCATCAGTGATGTCACTAATGACGTCATCGGTACCCGCATCGTCATCGTCACTGATGACGTCATCAGTGACGTCAGTGATGACATCGTCGGCATTGGGGGTCACGTGACCCCCCAAGGTCACGTGACCCCCCCTGGTTAGTTTAACCCCCCCCCCCAGTGCCCTTCCCTCCTCCTCCTCAAGAGCTGCGCTCTAATTCGGCGTTACAGGGAGTTGTAAGCGGCTTTCACTTTTTTCATACCGACCTCTTACAAAGGAGAGGAACCCCCCCCCCCCGTTCCCCCCTACTGAAGTGGCGTTGACAGTCAAACGAAATTGTGTGAGCCGGCCTTTACAGTCAAACGCAAAATGGTGAACCAGCCTTCAGAGTCAAACGCAGGGGTGTGGAGTGACAATCACAGACAAACGCAAATGTGTGAACCGGCCTTGACAGTCAAACGCAAAGGTGTGAACCAACCTTCAAAGTTAAATGTAAAGGTGTGAACTGACCATCACAGTCAAACGCAAATGTGTGAACCGGCCTTCACATTCAATCGCAAAGGTGTGAACCAGCATTCACAGTTAAATGCAGGGGTGTGAACTGACAATCACAGTCAAACGCAAATCTGTGAACCGGTTTTGACAGTCCAACGCAAAAGGTGTGAACTAATCTTCAGAGTCAAACGCAAAGGTGTAAAGTGACCATCACAGTCAAACGCAAATGTGTGAACCGGCCTTCACAGTAAAACGTAAATGCGTAAACAGGCCTTTGCAGTAAAATGCAAACGTCTGAACAGAGATTCACAGTCGATTGCAAATGTGTGAACCGGCCTTCACAGTCAAACGCAAGTGTGAATTGGACTTTACTGTAAAACGTAAAGGTGTAATATGGCCTTCCCAGTCAAACGCAAATGTGTAAACCGGCCTTCACAGTCAAACGAAAATTCGTGAAGCGGCCTTTAGACATGAAATCTTACTTGGCGCCTCCGTTTTCTCGACCGTATTGGCCCGGCGGACTTCGCGGTTGAGCGCGAAGTCGCTCCCGAAGTGCGCCCGGCAGAATTCGTAGGGGTCGCTCAAGGCCTCGGCCGACACGCCACCGCCAGCGTCGTCACCTGGCGGAAGAGGTGAGCAACACTAAGACTCTTCGAAGGCCAATTGGTTCAACCCCGATCTACGTCTTTTATCGCAAGAATAACGCTTGCGATCTTTCGATAAACCAGTCTTTTAAAATATGATTTTTTTTGTAGTTTTAAAAAGTTCTGTGTGTGGCCGGTGTAATTTTTCGCATTATTTTCAAATATGATTTTGTGTGGACAACGTGCTGGGTTATTAAAAAAGACGCTGCGTATTGCACATTTTCATTTCAAACAAGCTCCAAAAGTCAGAAGCCAATTCCGCACATAATCGATTAGAGGAAGGTTCCATGATCATTGAGGTTCTTATCCTCAGAAATAGCACCATGTGTTGCGTGATGAACATCAAATGGTAGCACATTTCTTGCCACACACACAAGTCAACTGGCCACTATAGTTATTGAATTCACAGCTTCAGCTATTCAATGTTGCAGATACTCAAATCAAATGTGGAGGTTCTACGTGCCAAACCTACGACGGGCATCTGGCACGCCCCAGCGGAGGACTGAGGATTAATTTCGACCACCTGGCGATCTTTTGACGTGCAACCGAAGGTTCGGTTACACGGCGCCTTCTCCGCAATAAGCCTCCGTCATATTGCGGGCACCATGTTGCAGATATTGAAACAGACACAAACAGGTAAGCATAAAAAAAGATAAAGCTTTTCTAAATTTTTGTTAAGAGATGTGCAGAAGGCGTTTTTTTTTTTTACAGTTTGCATAAAATAAAGTTTTGAAAACTTCTACGTTTTTTTTAGCAGTTAACATTAATCTCTGAGAATCGTCACGGGCGGGAGAGACATCGCATTTGGACTGTCACGTAGCTAGACGACGTTTTGGGCAACTTTACTATAGTTAGTGGCAGGTTAAAAGTTCATTGAAAACTCCTCCCACCCCTTTTCACTTTAGCAGAGCAAATGCTTTAGAGGAGCTCGCCTCCTCTCCACCGTTCTTTCTACTAAAGTGGAAAGGAATGGGAGGAGCTTTCCCTGAATCCTTAAGCTGTCATTGACTATAGATTAACTCAGTTGCGGAACTCCCGCGGAAAGTGGTACCCCTGAACTCTTAAACTGTCACTGACTATAGATTAACTCAGTTGCGGAACTCCCGCGGAAAGTGGTACCCCCCTTCCCCCTCACTTCATTCAATCCGCCTTCCGTCAATTGAAGTGCTACCTAGATTTTTGTTTCAAAACTGTGTGTTCCATAGAGTACGCTGGATCGCCCCGCATAATTGTTGTCACATCAATAAAAAAAATTAAATAAAAGTTCTGAGCATTGTTTGGAATCTGCGGGAAGTAAAGTTGTTACAAGGTTTCGGTTGCCAAGGGAAAAAAGTCGATGCTTTTGTCGTTTGAAACCTGTACGTTTTGATACGATAACTTATGTCTAATCTAGAATGCAACTACATATACCTTACTTCTCCACATAAAAGAGGAAATGAGTAATGCTCCACTAGGAGCCGGACTTAATTTGTTACAGTTTCTTAAAACGAAAACGAGTACTGCAATGGCACTCTGCTTCAAAACTTGTGTATTCCATAAAATACGCTGCAGCTACCAAAGCAGCCGACCCCGGAACGGTGGTGTGTTGAACGATGAGAGGTGATCCGAAAAGGAGGGGGGGGACGGGTAATTTATTTTTGGGAGACAAGTACGTCACACATCAGTTTCTGTTCTCTCCCACTTCGCGGGACGCGCCGCTGTTGTGTGCCAGGGCCACCGACTGTTTTACCACATTTTTTTTCTCGGGGAGATATATGAATTGTTAGGATGTAAGGACGTCAGTAAGTTGGTAGAAGTCAGGCATGTTGTGAAGTACCGGAGATTAGTCGTTTCGCTTCGAAGTTTAGGGTAGCTGGTTCTCACATCTGCGTTTGAGCGTGATAGACGGCGTTACAAACACCTGTGAGGGCTTAAAACAAAGATAACACTAGCGAAGACTGACGCACTGGCACCATCTGTCGGGCAGACCTGGAATCCTTGCCGACCAGCGCATAAATATACTGAATGTTTTGTAGCATTTGCGCTGACCAATCTTAGACCTATCTATGAGAACTGGTTTCTTATAGCATTGTCCGCATTTCTAGACGACGGTGAAAGTACGACGGCTTTCTCGCATATCTGTGCTCTTAGATTTGTGTGTCAGAAAAGTCGCTGCTCGAAAACGTCACAACAAAGGTAAATCCTGCCGTATATAAAAAAAAAAGTATGAATATGTTTAATAAACATATGACAATATATGAAATTATCCCTGAAGATGTACGATCCGAATAAACATTTATACGCCTGGTGTAATTTTTATAAGATCTGGTTTGTTTATTGAACAAAATATATATACTTTTTTGTTGTCTTTTCAATAGGGTATAGGTGAATATACAACTGCTACGCCATTTATATATCACACTTGTGGCGTCACGAAACTTTTAGAGATATTGATCCATACGCAAGACGCCCCCACTCTGACTCCATCTGCAGAACATATAGCGGCCCAAACAGCTCAGAAATGCAAAAGCTTAAGAAATACGATTCTTCGGCGACTGTATCCCCGTGGCGGGCGATTTTTATCTCTACTCCAGGAAGTCTAGGGTGTGTACTGTCCCGCAAAGCACTTGGGAGTTCCCATCGCTGGATTGATAAATGAATGAACGGATGGATGCTATACAACGGCTATACCCTTTATAAAAAGCGGTAGCTTGCGCCACCGAGCCTAGAAATCAAACGTATTATCCATCTCCTCCCCCTTCTAAGCCAATTCGCTTTCCTCATCAGTTTTGTAACTATCTACGGAGCCAGTTTGCGGAATGACGAGGCTGAAAACACGGTATATAAATAAAAGATAAACAGTCTGCACTGAGGCACTAAGCTTGGTGAAACGTCCTGCGCAAGTCAGTGCCACAACCAAACGTTGATTACTATAGTCTGTGATAGGTTAAAAATTCAGGGGAAACCCCTCCCAGCCCTTTCCACTTTAGCAAACGCCTCCTCTCTAGCGTTCGCTCTGGTAAAGTGGAAAGAGCTGTGAGGAGCTTCCCCTCGAACTCTGGACCGACTGTAAGTTAGCTCAGTTACTGTAATGCCCATAGAAAACTGCTTCCCACGAGCAGTAACCCCTCCTTACCCCTCCCCAACGCCCTCCTACCGTCGTCCGACGCGCCACCGTTTTCGGAACGGCTGATATATCGTAATTGCTAAGGACCTCCGCTACCCGGAACACTACAGCCAAGGCCATCGGCGCGCAGGCGCAGTGGCGGTTTCTTCGTAGCGGAAAGTTAGTGGAGGGGGAAATACGGCCTATTAAAGCTCCCTAATGTCTGGATGGCACTTCAGCAAACTGTGCGGAACACAAAGTTTTTAAACGAAAATCTCGATGGCGCTTCAGACAACGGAAGGCGAACTGAGGGGATTCCACAACTGGTAAGACTAGCCCAGTTGTGGAACTCCCTCCACGGGAGTTCCACAACTGGGCTACTCTAGTAACGTTGGTCACAGAGCAGTCTACCTTTTTTTTCCTGCGTCTAAGCATATTTTTAGCGTCGTCATTCGCAAATATCTCTCAGCATAATTCAGAGATTAGTGCTGCCAAGTGGAAAACCAGGCCCTATCGGTTTAATTGAGTGCGATTAAAGCAAACAAGAGCTTCGTATCCTCAATCCCGGTCGTGAAATCGTTCATGTCGCCAGCTACATTCGTGCCCAGTGACGTCAAAACTCGCCGTAAAATTAACCGTTGCGAGTTAACTTTCGTGCAGCGGAAGTCGTCGCGTGACGGCTAGCAAACGGCACTCAATCGATCCCTGGCACAGTATATTCCGAAGGTCATGTTGGCAATCGAACTAGACAGTATTGACCACCGCCCCGCTATAAATACGGCTCGTCCCAGACGAGACGCATAGGCTGCTGATAGCTGGTACGGCCGGCGGCATTTTGTATCGATCATCTCGTCGGTCGTTACAGATCTTTCGTCAACACCCGGCGTTGGCAACAAAGAAAAATTTGTGAGTTTTCTGGTTTTAGTTTTCTGACTGAAAGCTTCGAAATATTGCTATTGTCACTGACAGCCCAAAGGGACAATGAAATCATTTTTTCTACTTCTTGATCTTAGACAATGGCCAACTTTCTAGTACATTGATTGGAATACAAAGTATTTCAAGGAAATATAAAAATGATGACTAACATACGTTCTATAATACCCATGCAATTAAAGTCCTCGGGAAAATTAAAATGAGTTTTGTCAAGAAAAAGAGAAATCGACAATTTTGCGAATATAACCCATATTATTCAACTAAAAAAAAAAATTAAATGTATAGCTGTGAAATAATAAAAAAAAAAAGCTACACACGCCCAAATGTTTAGTTACTACTAACTAATATTCTTTGACTGTAATATAAAATATTCCCGGGGAAAATCGCGATGTATGTTGTTTTCCAGTTGAGAGAGAGCGAGTGAAAGACAAGGGTTTGATAGGGAAGGACAGAGAGATAACCTGATCGTAGGGTCTGGTTTGATGCACTGTACTGGGGGAGGGAGAAGAAAAGTTATGACAATGAGGAAGAAAGATGAGGTGAAGCTTTCAATTAGGGTGGGCAATTAATTGCTATTATAGTGCATGCACCGAGGCGTTGATGTCCAAGAAAGTTCGGAATGTTTCCTCTTCAAATCAAAATTGAAATTAGGAACCACGTGGTCCCGACGTAGGATATCACCGGATGCCATGACTGCAAGCTTCCACAGTGCTTTTTAAGCACACCAGGGAACTTGTCATACGCGAGTGATGATAAGTGCCGTCACGGCACTCATGGACCACGAATGCGAATCCCAATATTCGTTGACGAACTGCTTGTTGAACTGATTGAATTGATTTGATAGAATTCATTGAGGAGCGCATACCTCCGAGTTACGTATTTCTTGCGTTCAACGCGCGAGCTGGGTTCGGAGGACGTGGTGGGGCACCGCGGATGCATCCCAGTGAAAATGCGGAGA